TGCTGACAATTATGTGCAGGTTTGCAAAGCGAACCTCTTCATTAAGTGGGATACTTGTTTGCCCTTAAGATACGTTGCTCTAAGTGGCAGAGCTGCTGTATAAAGAGCATCTCTGACTTGCGTACGTTTACACGCCTTTTCTTTCTTTATATTACAGTTTGTTCATATCAACAACTTAAAACTCATCTGCAGAGCGCATCAGCTAGTGCATGAAGGCTATAAATTCATGTTTGATGAGAAATTGGTAACAGTATGGTCTGCGCCGAATTACTGCTACCGCTGCGGAAATATTGCATCAATCATGGTCTTTAAAGATGTAAATACAAGAGAACCAAAGCTATTTCGCGCAGTTCCAGACTCAGAACGTGTAATTCCTCCTAGAACAACTACACCGTATTTTCTTTGAGATCTTTTCCCGTCCTGCTGTTTCCCCCATTCCCTTGTACTATCCCTCTACAATATACTTTTTATTGAGCACTTTGCTGCTGAAATGCTGCCTCTTGCCTTTTTTTATTTTTAAATTATCTAAATTTATTGTGTATGATGGAGTCTGTAGCGAATATACCTTGATTTCCCCACCCTGGATCAAATTGAGAATGCTTGTGAAATGTCCTCACCATTTATACTGCTGCATATAGTTCTTGTATATTTCTGGTTGTAGGTGAAATGTTTTCCCTCTTTAAAAAAAAAAATTTAAAAAAATCATAAATGCATTGGAACTATTTGGATAGCCCACTATGTCATTCAACGTTTTGTTTGGTAAGTTTTAAGAAATTTCAGCAGCAAAGTTACCTGGTGTGCACGATGGGACCGTAAATGCGTTGTGTTGTGTACACATCTCCAAGGCATAAAACTGAATTTGTCCTTGTTATATCTTGTTTTAAGTGGATATGAAATAAAGTGGTCTAAAGGGCTGTTCCCTCTTGTTTTTTTAGGATTCCAATTAAAATAGAAAGAATGTGCTACAGCTATTGAATTTGTACATTAAAATAATTGTTCTGATTTTTTCAGATACCTTGTATTTTTAATAAAGTCATATCTTAAATGAAATCCACCTCCTAGGTTAAATATTGCAAATAAAAATCCTGCATTGTTGATGTGAACGTATGTCCTTTTCCGTCTCGAGAACCGCGTACCCCGTCGGTTCGCTCGCGGGGAAGCGATCCAGCCACCGCGGCTCTGCTCCGAAACGCAACCGTGCCAAGAGCGGCAGCTGTGTCCTTCTAGGCGCGCGGGTCCCGCGACGTCCCGTTACCGTTCTCGTTAGCAACCGCAGCTCCTGGCGCGCGAAGCCGGGTCCTGTTCCGGCCCGTGCCGTCGCTGGGACCACGCACCGAAGAAACGACCGAGCTGGTGGCTGACAGTCGGGGGACCATCTTACACGCTAACCGCAGTGTTGCATAGACGTGGCAGCGGGTGACGCGTGTACTGTTACGTGTCGGAGAACCAAAGGGCCACGCCACGCTGTGCGCTTGGGACCCTGGTTGCAAGCCTGGGGGGCGAGTAGCTTCAGCCCCGGGTAGAAACCTCCATGCCCTTCGCTCCTGCTTCCTTTCCTCTGTGACAAGTGACGTGGGGGGGGCGGTTCTGGGGCCAGCCTTCTGCTCCGGTCGTGACCCGCCCACCCGGAAGTGCCGCCTCGCTTCCGGCCCGCCTCTCGCCCTCCCCTTCCGACGGAGCTTCCGGTTCCGGCCGTCCCGGAAGCGGCGAGGGGAGGCAT